CTGCAAAATCTTATTCTATCATAATCACAAATGTATGTATCTTATGCGTTGTCCACAATACATAGAGTAAGAAATTGACCAATCATAGTAGAATGTAAGGAGAATAATCGTCTGCGATTGGGTTAATATTTTACTCTTGTTACTCCGTATATTGTAGATGACGCATATTAGACAACAGATGTCATGTCGTATGGATATATGTATGCATACATTATATATAGAAGTGCTTTCGATAGCTTAGCTGTTCATGTGCAACTATTATATTAAGTAGATAGTTGGCTATTATTAGTACACGTCGTCGCAGAAGGTAGAATAGCAAAAGCACATATAACACTTCTAGTTTAAGTAGGGTGCGCGTTTCTGTGCAGCCGGTTATGTTATAGAACGCATTCAGCCAATCGCACGACCACGCGCTCTGCTCGCAACTCACTTTTTAAAGCCATGATTAATAATAACTTTTCCCCGACATCGGATCACCCCGATGATGGCACGTTAAACTGTCAATCGTATGCTGTTTTTTATCCGGACCGTTTCTCTCGTTTGGCATGACACGTAACTCGCGCGCATCGCCAGAAATAAAATTTATCGCAATCGATTTCTACTAATCTCTCCAATTCAGCGGAAACTCGCTTGGCTGCGCGCACTTCAATGTGCAACGCCGCGAAAAGTTATAGCTCTTATCTCTTATCGAAGTATGATGTATGACTGGCCATATGTTGTTGCGCGCGTTTATAATATACTTATACTTTAACCATATAGTATACTACGAATGCACCACGCGCAGCAAGGCCGAGGAGAAATTGTGGTACAAAACTAATATTATCATCGCCGCTTAATCTTTTAATTCTCTAATAGTAGAACCGGGAATCAGATGTAACCTTACGACTTTATCATTCAAAGTTCAAAGCATTTTTTGTTTATATATGTATGTATAGTATATATATATGTATGTATATCAGTGCCTTTTTAATAGGTAAAAGTGCTACATTTCAGTGTTCAATGCTACATGCATTTCCATTTTCAGTTCTTAAGTTTAACTATTCGCATAGATTTCGAATTTAATTTTAAAATGAACATTGCAAATTTGCAATGCTTGTCCTAAAGGATTAATTGTAATGTCTGCAGAATATTTGCGTTACCGTAATATATTACGTAACCGTTTATATATTGTATGCAGAAGATCTGAGTTTTAAGTTACGGAAGTTTGCTGATCTTCATCGTACGTAAGGATTTTCTTCTCCGTTAGAAAATACATAAAATCTTGTGCGAGAAACCCCCATACGTGCTGGCTTTCGAAATGACACATTTGCTCATGGAAATTTCAGACACTTTATACACATTTAAACACGTACAAACATGTTTTTCGCAGAAATCGCGGTATGTATTCGCATGAGAGTGCGACATATTGGTTTTGATTGAACCGCGACTCGGTTCATCTGCTTTGCGCCACGCTGGACAAGCACGAGGTAGATGAAAACGTGAATACAACAAAATGAAGAGAGATTCTAGCTAGCAGTGCGAATTGGATGACAAAAATAACAGATAGGGCTTTCACTTTTGACGTGTGTAGTGGTGAACGCCTGTTGTAAACGCATATATATATACGCATAAATCCACACGCACACGATACCGCGTCTCACAATAGGAATGCAATTTTATTTAATCCTCAATTTAACAAATTGATTGAAATATGATAACAAAAGGGAAAGAAAATCCTGTTATTAATATTTTGAAATTTACAAAATCGATATTCTCAAACATAGGGGAAGTATTGTAGGAAGAATTTTATTCGACATTCTCGATATTTTTTTTATTTGGAATCACTGTCTCCTCCCCTCGCTCTCCCAATTATGGGACGTCATGTAAATCGAATTTAAAATATCCTGAATGTCTAAATTTACTTTGCGTTCCATATTTTTTTGGTAGTACGAGATGGTACACGATAATGCAATTAAAGGAACAACGCACGCAGATAAAATAATAAAAGACTTCAGCGCACGGAAGGATGAAACGGCGGACAATATTTTACAACCGATGCTCGCCCAATACTCGTGACTATGACATAAAAAAAATCGGTAGGGCGATTTTGAGATTCAAAATCAACTATAAGTGCGATTGCAGAGCTGTAATCAAGTCTGGATGGGTTGCATTGATTGACAATTTTTCGTCGCCCTCTACTCTCGTTTAATCTTCTGCGTTGCCCGTCACTTGGATACTACGAATATCGTTTCTAAACTAGTCTTCAAACCGATGATCGCGATAATATGTATACATTTTTCACAATTCGTAAACGCACGTATTTAAAGAGAAAAAAACATTTTTTTTTTAAATTAAATTATATTACTGTAGATTAAAATTATCGTACAAATAAATCTTTTCTTTCTCGAAAAAAGATGGATTATGGCCGTTAATTGAAAAGTTGGTTTTGTGATGGGTATTGGCTGTCGCATATGTATGCTGGATTAAAAAGTTGAAATATCGCATCGGTGTAAATGATTATCAATTAGCAATCGGATAGGTCGTTTGCGCAGACATGCGACAGGCGAATTGGCAAATGGATCTGGTTTGGACGCGTCTTTAATAGAATCATGAGCCAATTGCGAGAAAGAACAGGAAAAAGACAGAAAAAAGAAAAGAAAAATATGAACCCCGGCATTCATAAATTGGAATATTTTCTAGTGTTTACCACTTTGTTTTCTCTTTGTTTAAATTTTTATATTCCAGAGAGGGTTTCAAGTGTGCGATCGGAATGAATATATCATTGATTGTTTTTTTTTAAATATATGCAGAAAAGGGGGGAAAAGGTAATGCATCTTTTAATTAATTAATTTTTAGATACGTTACGAGATTAATCTTTGAATGGATAGTTATATATCGCATGTCTGCTACATCTATATATTATTTTCTAGCGTTCATTGTTTTACAAATTGACGACGACCTCGTTTCAACCTCTCGAACTTTGCCATCTTAAGCAGACAACTGCGCATTCCGCCGACAATGGCGAGCAACAATAGGTGGTCAGATTAAAATGCAAATTAGTCCATAAGTCAGGATATTATATAATTGTTAGCTATGCCAGCTGACGGTTATTGTCATGGCAATAAACTTTCAAGATTTAAGGTGTCAGCAGGCGGTATCCAAGTGGTATATGCTTGTACTTAAAAGATTACTTACATACCTACATACAGATCCTTTGAATTGTAAACGTTCGTCAGTCGCCTCTTCCGCGATCGCTCTCAATTTGTGTTGAATTATATTTCTATTTCTATATCTGTTCAATTCGCAAAAAGTATTTCAATCAATTGAAAACATATTGTTATCCAATTGCAAAAATTCCAAGATAAATATTACACTAGATATTTATCAATATATGTTATTTTTATGCTGATTTTTGTTTTGAGATAAATATGCCCTAGTTTATTTAGATCCTGATTAATTCTACAAAGCGAATATTTACAGTTAATACTGCGCAGACAATTTAAAAGTTATCTCACGGGAATAGGGAAGCTTTAACATTCATTATTCTTTTTTTTTTTTCGAGAGAGGAAAAAGCTTAGGGCCACCTGTCTCATTCGACTCGTGCGGGTCCATTTACCCTGCGTATTACCACTCGTGAGTAATTAACATAAAAGGGTTAACTTAAGAGCGTTGTGAACATAAATCGCGATATACAATCGGCTTCTTTTATAAAACAAACGATTTATATTAAAAAGTAAGAAACAAGCGTTTCACGGAATTTTCATAAAAATTTGTTATTCAAATAATTCATTTTTTATACAAGCCTAATTTGAATATTATATATTGTGACGTGACATTTTGTCAGTCACCCAGAAAAACGGCATAACGCGAGATCCTGGGTCCTTCAGGGTCAGCGGGCGAGCGCACAAGCGAATGTGCGACATTATTATTTAATTTTATTTCATTTTTGCGATTATTGTATTATTTAATTGATATTCTCTTTGTGCGATTGTTGTATTATTTTTCTCCAATTTTGTTGGCTGAGCTAGCTGAGCCTGTCCGTCGCGAATTCCGTTGCTCTGTAATTTCTTTGTCCGAGCGTAACATCTTAATATTTAGTGCGAAGAGTGGCACGCTCTCTCGTGCCTGGCGCCCAACGAAAATTAGTACGGCTCGAATATCGTAGCATATAAAATTTCAGGAAGAACCGCACTTTTGCTAATTACATTATTGTGTCCATCTTTTGAGCTATCGCGTAAAAGGAGCAGCGGATGAAGTGACGAGGTTGTGCCGTTTCCCCAAAAGTACGGTCACAATATATACATATATATATATATAGTTATGAAATGTCAAATTACGCTAAAATCTTTATTGCAACTTTACAAATTTTTCTTAAATTGTATTTGATGCGATAAAGCAATATATGAAATTGTATTTAGCATCCAAAAACGAAAAATGATTACGTTCTTGTGCATTTTTTGTCAAACGGTATAATCATTGCCTTCGTATTGTCACGTCAGTACAGTAATGCTTGTATCTATATACATGTACACACATACATACTGAATTATTTTCCGCGAAGATCAGAGGTTAGTATGTCGATGTTTCAAATATATCAACAGTTATGTACTCATCACTTATGGTTCCCGAGTCAATCATTAAAGAGAAAGAGCTGTAAGCATTCTTATATTTATCAAGAAATGCTTCCGTGTGCTTAATACACTATTAATTTTACAGCAATATAATCCTTTGCATAATTATATCTTGAATTTTCATAGAAAAAATAAATGCGTTTGTCGTTAAAACATATACATGATTATTTCATAGCATAGATCTCTAAAGAACGTCCTCAGAACGTTTCCAGGAACATTTCTGTGATAAAGTGTACTGTACAGTCTATACTATAGAATACATGCATGTACACACATCTTGATAACAGTATTCTATGATTTTGCATAGAACAAAGTTTTCTACTACGGCACTGCAATGACATACGAACGTTATCGTATAGTGTTAACAAGCTTCAGTTTCGATTACACTTTGCAGCTCGACAAATCAGACATTTTATATACCGCACTATCTCATTTCTCGACTTAGATATTGGACATGCAATCGTATATCGTAATTGCATTGCGTACGTATACATAGACTTTAGAATAAACGAAATATATTTTACCAATTTTTCACACACAAATACGTAAAGATAAAGAGCTCTTGTGTATAAATATTGTATATACGTAAAAATAATTGAATAACAGTGTAACTATAATAATAAAAAATTCCATAAGAAATCTTATGACAAAAAGAAATTCGTTGTAATGATTGCTGTATGTCACAGTGATTACTTTCGTGATGGCTTTCGAAAATGCAGCCGCATGCAATTGCGAGCACTGTGACGAGGAAAGAGTTATCGGTTTAGGAGTGGAGACGACGACTACTCAGGCCATGTACAAAGAGGACAGTGATAATGATGGTAATCTAACAATTTGCGCCAGGAATCGCGATTTTAATGAACGCACGTTTCCAAGCATCTGTTATATGCTATGTTACAATCGTTGCACGAAATACCGAATGGTAGCAGTTAAAGAGAATGACATAAAGAAGTATGTTTTAATTGCATCTAGACCGAGTAAGTATAGGTATTTGAAAAGTTATAACTCACACTACTACTTTTCATATTTTAAACTTTATAATCTGAAAATTATAATATTCAACCTGATATTAGGACATTAAATTTTGAAAAGTTATGTTTTATTAATAGCTATAATTTTTACGTAGATTATTATAAATTAAGAGATGGAGCGTGCTGAAAGAGGGGATATTGTTCTGTGCTTCCGTGAATCGTAATCGAAAAGATCGACATACAATCACTAGAGAAATTTGAACAATAATTTTGCGAAAGTTTAAATTGTTTCTATTAATATATGAAAAATGTACATATATATTCTGGTACTTTTACCATCCAATTATCCTCAACGGTTTATTTTGAATGTACTGTCTTGGATGTATTGTAGAATTAACGTAAAACTATTAAATATATTTTTCAAAGTGTCCGTTACAGTGTGCGTTATACATGTTTAGTGAATGTTGTGTTTTTTGTAATCAGGATTTTATTTAATGGCTTGTAATATAATATTTAACGTTAGGGTAACATTTAACGTAGTGGATATCACTTAGGACTGATCGTTTTATCTTCGGATAAGATATGCGTATAATTTACCTATTGGATAAACAAAAGAGTAAGAGCATAAGAGAGCAAGAGAGTAAGACAGTAAGTTGAAGTTCACCGAAAGGTGGAATAACTCAATTATTACGTATGTAATAATATATTAGAATATCATTTAACGTAGTTATTTTTGGATGAGTGTTGAACGAAGATTTATCAATGTGCACGTAATCGCGCGGATGATATACCATTATTACTGGAAACTGCGCTTAAAAATTTAATTGCAGTCCGACGAAGTATTAGTTCGATAGTTGTAAATTTACGGCGTACTGCGGTTTCATTATTTCCACTGCAGTTTCCGCTATTTTCTCGGTCTCACTGCTGTGTTAGCCACGAATTATGTTAAGCGACGAACGCGATCCGAATCTCCATTTGCATTCCAACTTCCTTTTTGTCGCGTCCGGCAGGTCTGGCAATTGGAAAGTCGCGATGCGTAAAAGATCAGACTTAGCGGAGTGCAAATAATACTCTCCAATTAAGGGGGGAACCATGTGAGAGTCTGAGGGGAGAAATAGAGGTGTGTGTGTGTGTGTGTGTGTGTGTGTGTGTGTGTGTGTGTGTGTGTGCGTGCGTGCGTGCGTGCGTGCAACGCTCGAAATGCGCTGGAAATTAACAGTCCAGCTTCGAGAGTGACTTTGGTGTTGGGCAATGCAGGAGAAGATGAAGCAAGAGGAGCTGTAGAGAAGGAGAGATGCGAGGTGGCTCGCGGGACGAAGGAAAGGAATTAACCAGACGCGGAATCCTCTCGCAAATTGAGTTGCACCAAGCCGGAATTTAAACATTCAAATTAACCTATTTAGCAAGTCAAAGAGGCTAATGTGTACACGCCGGCCCTGCAGATCCTAATATTCAATCGATATTGCCTTGTATCTTGCCCATCGACTGCAAGCTGGTTGCGGTTTTTTTCTCACCCTCTTTTCCCCGCATTCATATCGATAGTTGTCCGATTCATGACCAGAAACGCGCCCTCTTCTGCCGTGGAAGCAGTTATATCGAAGATATGGAGTTTTTTTTTACTATTTTTTTTCTTTCTTTTTTTTTTTTAATCAAATTGATGTAATATTCGTGAGAGTGAATAAGAAGCGGGGAGTACAATATTTATTGCTCGGCCGCACAAACTGTTGCTTTTGTAACACCGGCTCGTCGCAGTGATGTTTTCAAACGTTCCAATTAATTCCTCTCTCGAAGCGAGCATTGTTTCACGCGAGATAAACGCGAAAGATCGTCCGCGTCCGACAATCCGGTACGCGGTACGCGATGCACACCGCACGCGTAAATAAAGAGTGTCGCGCACGATATGTTACGATAATAACGCACGTTACTTGGCATGACGTGCATGAAAAAAATATTGTTCAGAAATCGATTCATCAGTGAAATCGTCCCAAGTATTTTCTATATTGAAATTCTCGGTCGCACTTGTTACGATAACCCACGCTTTTGAATATAATTATGACAGAAAATTTTCATAGATGGAAGAAGAATTATTTGTTAATAATCATTCCTTAAAATGATGATACATAAGCATTTCGCCCCTCGCGCAAAATTTCCTTTTTTTCAAGTAATTGATTTAGAATTTTGGATACCATAATAGTATTTTATTTTGTTATAAGTATATTACCAAGAAATCGGCTTAAAATGTTTCGTTACAGTTTTGTTGGTCATTATAGCTTGATCGATTGCGCCATGGGCGCTTCCGTTTTTTGAAAAGAGTTTGGTCAACCAGCGTGAAATTAGCTATTAGAATACCGTTATATTGCTAAATAGCTAGTATCGTGGATTAGAAATTAATTGATTATCTAATTGAATAAATAATCGTTTTTTATATTTTTAAAAAATAACACAACTTAGAAAACTATTTTTGAATATATTATGAATGGGTAAGGTAAACCCTATCAGTCATTATTAAAAGCGAACTAACTTAACTTCATAAATCATTACAATTCAAAAAGGGTAGTTTTCTTAAGAATTGCAAAACGAAAATGACATAAATGACGTTTGAGTAAGAATATATTCGTTTTGTTACTATTATTTGATTATAGTTGATAATTTTCTGTCTAGTTAAAATGTAGTTTTTCCTCTTTTCTGGTAAATTTAATTTTTTAAGTTGTGTCACCTTTTGAAATAAAGGAGTAATAATTTCTTTATTATGTATAAGATGTTTTTAAATTATGATATAAAAGTATGAATAATTAATTCTTATCCACACACACAACGCATTAAAACCTAATAGTTATTCACAACTTCACAACATAAAATATTACATTATCATACGTGATACTTATGTTCTTGTCTTTAAATCTTTTTGTAATTTACATTCCTTTTAGACATATCGTATGAGAGCGATTTACGGTCTACTTATGCAAAAAAGGTATCAAAGTTCCTTTTTCTGTCGTCGAATTAAACAGTCCAGTAAACCCGCATCGTTTCAGCATTTAGAATCAACAGGAAAAAGTCAGATGGTTTGATATATTTATATGCTTGCAACTCATACGTACATACATTTATGCGCATCTGTATGTACGTTAGATTCTCAAAGAGGGCCACCGTGATCGTTTTATAGAGAGCTAATAAAAGGTACATGGGTGACGGAATCCAATAAAATCCTTATTCCCGAATCACACGGATGCCTGCTTTACCCGATTTCGAGTAGCAACTACAAATTTTCCATAGAATGGCGTTCGTAGCTTTGACAAATACAAAGAGAAACAGGGAGTTTACTGAGGAGAAAGGGAAGGAAGGAACCGTGTCGGAAAAACACTATTTTATATTTTATACACACATATATATATATATATATATTATATATATATATTTGTATATATACATCGCATATAGATGTAGGATAAAAATATTCAAAATTTTATCTTCAAGCTATACTACATTTGTAACGCTCAGAAATTATTTTTGCGTTTTACGTCATGCTCCATCCTTTGTTCCAAATCGCGCGCTCGACTCGCGATTCTATGTGATTACATGCATCTACTAAAAAATGACAACCATTTACGGGGGCAAACGCAGCTGACGACTTAATTCGATCCATAACATCGTAATACGCCATGCAATGATAAATGTAGCGGTAGAAGTGAATTTTACATATTAATCCCGTTCCTCGGCATCGGTATTGTTGAGAAGGATTCGAGGGAATGCGGTCACCAACTCGACTTGGTTGGCTTCACTTATTCTTACTTACGGTACCTCGCACGTCGCATTTCACGTTGCCTCCTTTAAGGGGGTGACTGAACATTTGTCTGGCTTGCCCTACGACTAACTACGAGCCGTCACTACGAACGAAATCTGCCGCGGTAAAATCGTTTCTGACTGATGCCGAAAGATCACTCAACTACCACTTTTCTCTCGCCCCATTGTTCTGCTATCGTCGCGTTGATACCGATAGTTCGCTCCTAAGACTTCGGTCCGATCCCATTTCTCGATCCCGGAGCACGAACCGCGTTTAAGTTCGGTGATCGAAGAAAACGAATAGTTTTTTCTTTCTTTTACAAATCTTTCCTCAATCGTAAAAGATCTTTTTAACGAACATACTTCGAAAATCTATATTGAATATTTAATTAACAAGGGAACATAATCAAGTATTTTCCTCTAATTTTAATAAGCTTTGTATTAAAATACAGGCAAAAATAAGAAACACGTATTTTTTTAGTAAGTGCTCTCTTGTATGTTAAAATCATTCTTTGAAAAATGACTTTTCCTTTCTGAGTGAATTTTATATAAACAATCAGATATAAGAAAAATGTTTTAAATAAAAGTTGAATGGTTTTTTAATTGTATTTTATAATACTGATAAAAAAACTTTTTTAAATAAAGTTTTAATTTTTCAAATGTGTTTTTATTTTTGAGAAGTTTATAATTTTTAAAAATAAAAAACTTTCTATTTATAAAAAAATTTATAAATATTTTTTATTGTTGATATAAATATACTCTTGAAATCCTTCAATCCTTTTATTTAGAACATTTTTTTACATTTTTGACGATTCAAACGATTCACTCAGAAACAGAAAAACTGATTTTTTTCAAAGGATGATTTAACTCTGGCAACGTGCAGAAAAGCACTTATAAAAAGCACTTATAAAAAGAATACGCATCTCTAACAATTTTAAGTCGCTATTATTCTAGAATTCCTGAGGTATATCATTTGTACTAGTATCCAGTAAAACACATAGGTACTGACTACTAAAAATTGGTACTGGACCTTGTCGGTATTCAGTTCATACTTGGAAAAATGGACTGAAAAATACCATATATTGACGATCGATTTGAAGGCCGCGCCGCGATATATCGTAACATTAAAATTTTATGCTACCTTTATTACTTCATTATGTAATTGGAAACAATAAAGACAACAATTTATAGTTAGAAAATCGTCAGATCGCTTCGGGGTCAGAAGCAAATTTGCAGAGAGCACGACGCTAATGTTTCTTTTCCATGAATCGAATAACTCGCACTCGTAAAGGCGAATGATTGACATGGTGGCTTGTAGGCACGAGAATTGCTCGTCCCGGCGACTTCCTACACGCTCCGCGTGGAAGTATCGTAATGGAAACTTTGGGATCGCGTGTGCCAAAATGACTTTGTGT